AATTTTTTATTATGTTTATCTGCAGTTAGTTAAACGAATTTTAGTATTAAGCTAAAATAAGTTGTATTTATACACAATTTACTTGTAATCTTAAACTTTAAGTAATATGCATCAACAAAGAGTACTTCGTGCATAAAAAATCGTTTTTAAGAATTTTTGTCAAATGCTTTATAATATAGTATAGATAGTATTTATATAATTTAATATAACAAAAAAGAAAAAAACACAAAAAAAGGTTAAAAACAACTATAACGTTTTTCTTAGAACATAAACCAAGAATTTGGAGTTGTAGATGTCATACTTGTGCTGTACAAACAAGTAAAACGTTAAAAACAACTATAAAAATTCAAATATCTGAGTCATTCAGTAACTATATTCAGCTCCTCCTGGTAAATATTATTTGAGCACCGTATTGAGGTTGCATAGTAAGTGATTGCATCGGAGCATGAACGTACGAATGCGAAACCACGAACGTGTATCGTCGAACAATCATGGCCAAAACAATTTTCGCCTCGACCATCGCTAGGTTTTGGCCAACGCAAACCCTAGGGCCCAACCCAAACGGGAAGAATGACGCTAAGTGGTTCCTAGGCTCCGAAAATCTCATAGGATTGAACTCGTTCGCATCTTCACCCCATATTCTTGGATCGTGATGAACCGCGGTCATGGCCAGGAAAAGTTGTGTACCGGCCGGAATATCGAGCCGACCACCTAATTTCACATTTTCCGAGGCTTGTCTCATCATCATTACTGCCGGAGGGTAGAGTCTAAGCGTTTCGTTTAATATCATGCTAACCTGTTCAAACACGAAGAAAAACAATTAATTGCAAAAGTCGAGATGTATTATATATAGACTCGGAGACTTACGGTCTTTAATTCTGCCAAATTATCGACACAAGGGAACACGTTATCTCCGAAAACGCGAACAACTTCTTCTCGAGTCTTGTTTTGCCATTCTTGATGCAATCCGAGAAGGAGAAACACCCAAGTCAAAAGATTGGCCGTTGTTTCCTTTCCCGCGAAGTAAAATGTCTTGCATTCACTGACAATCTCCTCGTGAGTCAGTGTGTCGTCTTTCTTGTAAGGACGCATCAAAAACGCAAGTAGAGTGTTCGGATTTTGTTTCGTGTTTTCGTTTTTCTCGATTACTTTCGTTATCAATTCTGTCGTTTCTTTCTCAAGCTTCCATCGTAGCCTGTTTTTTTCGGTCGGTATATACCTACACCAAAATTCTTAACATTCATACAAACATATAATTGTGCATGTCAACGATAATTGAGAGTACACTTGAGATCATGTTAGACCAGTCTGTTTTTGTGAGACCATTTTTTTACACTTGAAACTTCACTATAAAATACTGTGAAGGTTCGGATTTTTTTTACCTTCACAATGTTTTGCTGTGAAGTTTCAAGTGTGAAAATATGCACCTACGGGTCTCATGAAAACAAGTTGGTCTCACGTGTATATATAGTGTTGGGGTCCAATGAGAAGAAGAGTTAACGCGAGAAGCGTTAAGAAAATGATCTTCACTCTTAGATGCACATTAGAATAAGATGCAACGGATGATTCTCAGTATCAAGCGCGATTCATGAGTGGGTTTGATATTAAAGGTGATCAAGAGTCCAGATCTATTCTTACATTTCTCACCTTAACTCTTCTTGTCACACGATGCTTTGCTATATATATATATATATATATCGTGCGGATCATTTATAAACCATCTAGTCTAAGAATATCTAGTTTAATGATTTTCCCTGTTGTTTTCTAATTTAAAACGTTGATCATAATAAATGAATCCTCTTCGTTTCTATAAATATCTCAATTAATTGGTTTGAATGGTTTTTACTGATCGTTGGATTTGTAAAAGGAACCACCTGTATATACATATATTATCGATAAGATTGAAATGTGGATTCCCTAAATATTGAATTATAATGAAAAGTAAAACAAACGTTACTTGAATCCTGGAATGTAGACATTCCGCAAGGCTTGCAAGACAAGCATAACTTGTCGTTCTTGCAACTCGAAGATACGCTTGCCTTCTTCGAAATTGCTTCCGAAAGCCGTGCGTGAAATTATGTCGGCCGAGAGGTCGTGAAATTCCTTGTGCACGTCGAATTCGAATTCCGACCCGTTTGCTCCAATTTTGGCATCCCATTTGCTCATCATATTTCGAGTACTATCCACAATTTCGGGTACCCATTCCTAAAGCCCAAAAAGCATTAGAGTAGGCCCAATGGGCTTTGTTTAGTCTTTCCATTTGCTACCTAAATAAAATGATACCATCTCTTTTTTGGTAATTAATAATTAGTTTTCATACTGGTTTTTTTAAACAACTCCTACTTTCCAAGCACACATTTCAGATTGGAACAACTAATTTGTTTGTTTACCTTTTCATAATTCCATCAAGAGGTAACATCTAAATCGTTAATAGATAAATCTTGTTTGGCAAAAAAAAAAAAAAAATCTGCCTCTTAACTATTAAGAGCCCTAAATTCATTGTAAACAATTACCAAACAATTATATTTTATTTTGCATAATATCATATAGTTTTTAATCATTCTGATCATTTAATGATTTTACACAAAACGATTCAGCAACCGCTAAACAGCTCAATTGTGTTTAGAAAAATGCACAAATTTAATTAGCAATTACGTAATTTTAAAAAGAAGTTGTAAAAATAGAATTGATTCCAAAATTACCTTAATTCTTTCCATGTTAAAGGCCTGGGTGGTGATCCTTCTATGAAGGATCCACTTCTCCCCCTCCAACGCCACAAGTCCCTCCCCAAACAAAACCTTCGAAACCGGGTTGAACCGGATCTTCCCAAACGACCCGCTCTTACTCACTAATATCTCCTTGATCAGATCCGGGTCGGATACAGCCAGTCGGGGCTTTGATCCGAACCAATACAAAAATGGATCTCCGTAAGCTTTTGACCAATTGTGGAAGTGTGGCATCACCCTCTGAACAACTCCATCATGGTTGAAAGAAATTGGGCGTGATGATTCTGCCTCGACGATCATCCGCCGTCGGATCTGGGCGGAGTTTCCGAAGATCGGACGGTAGGTGGGACCTCTGATGCCTTGTTGACGGAAATGGAGTTGGATCCGCAGTGGAATCCATATGAATTTGAAGAAGACGCAGAACGTAATGAAAAACAGAGGAAGAAGCAGCAGCAAACTCATTGTTGTGGTTTGTGGGTGTGAGAGTGAAATCTGCTCCTGAAATGGTCAAGGGATCTTCGATGGGCGTTGACAATTTTGATTATATTTTTATAATTTTTTTTATTTAATTTCCTTTAGAAACATTCTAAATATTAAATTAAAAATCATTAAATCAAGATTTATGTTCTTTTTTCAAACAAATGAATTGGAAAACCATACTTTTTTCATTTTGTGAAATAATGTTAGAAACCATTTTATTCGGTTTTTATGTATGAAACAACATGTGTGAAAATGCAGTATTGTGAAATAATGTTAGAAATCATTAAGGTGGCGTTTGTTTTTTAAGAGGTGCTGAAGTCTGAATTCACTTCTGATTTTTAAGAGGTGGTGTTGAAGTCTGAAATCTGAATCAATCAGATTGTTTGTTTTTTGCGTCTGAAATTTGAAGATGAGAGATCGATAGTTGATATGGATCAACAGTTGACAGAGTTGAGAGATGAGAGATCGAGACATAAGCGTTGATCCAGAGAAATCGAGCGTAAAGAGATCAGAGTAGGTAGGCGACGATTTGAAATAAGAGGTAATAAGAGGTTTCTCAACCACTTAAATTTTCAGACCTAATAAGAGCTTTTAAACTCTTAATTGAAAAAAAAAACATTGAATCCTCTTATGTCTGATCGATTCAGACTTAAGAAGACATTAAGATCTTTTTTATTAAAAACAAACAGCCCCTAAGTATTGAATCTCATTTGCTCATTTAAAATTTGGATTTAAAACCACTTAAAAATCTTAAAAATAAACCTTAAAACCAGACCATCAAAACTAAAATATGAGACATAAGTTTATTAAGGTTTGATAGAGAACTTAAAATGAAGCTAACGATATAAAGAACTCAAAGTTTGGTAGAGTATTTTATCCACAATTGTCGATAAACAGAGTTTTTGGACTTTGAACTTCAACCTCTTATTTCTCCCTTAAAACTCGACCAAATTTAGATTTTTTTGAACCAAAACGTTCCCTAATCGGTTCTCTTCATTTACCTTTAAAAAGAATTCTCATTAATTGAAAAATAGAACAAAGAGTAAGCCTTCAAGAGAGTGGTCGTTTTCAAGAATCTGAAAATTTATCAGATTTATCCTTTTGACATAATAGATCCTCAGTCATACATTTGGCTCCCTCAACTTTTGAAATATTACATTTGGCCACCTACTCTCATTATTTTGGTCAATATTACACTTTTCACCCCTGATTTGACATTTTCTTTCATTAAACACGAACTTCTTTCTTCACTTTTCACTTTCATTAAATCACATAATTTGCCCATTTTCACGTTTTTCTTCACATTTATTGCCCAATCACATAAAACCCACTTTATTTTTTATTTTTACAATACTGTAATATTTAATAAATGTTGCGTGAGCAATATGTTATACACAAACATTCTACATGGATAATGACATGGCATGAATATCTCATAACTTTTGTCATATCATTCGTTGCTATAATGAGTAAATTTTTTGAAATACATATTCTAATAAAAAATAATTTATAAGTACCTTGTAGTAATAAATGAAATGAAGGTACAATCATATAATACGAAACTTTATGAAAATAGGTTACTATTTTATATATTTAAGTCCTTAAATAATATTATTTAGAGTAAATTACATTTTTCGTAGTTGCCACCCACTAGTAATTTTGATCTCTCTTTTGAACTAATTACACTTTTGGTCATTGTGGTTGTCACTTTATTTCGCTTTTGGTCCTTGCCGTTAGTTAAGTCCGTTAACTCAGGGGCATTTTGGTTTTTTTTAGTCATTTCTCTTATTTAATTAAAAATAAAGATACATATTATAGGCAAAGAATCGTGTGAGAAGAAGAGTTAAATTGATAAACGTAAGAAAGAACTGGACCCTTGATCACTTTTAATTTCAAACTCACCCAAGAATCACACTTGATACGAGATTGATCTGATGCATCTCGGTGCATCTCATTCTAATGTGCATCCAAGCTTAAAAATTCCTTCTTACGTTTCTCACCGTAATTCTTATTCTCAGCCGAATCAATCCATATATTATATATATACGCACAGAGAAAGAAAACAATCCCAACCCATCGAAAACTCTCCCTCGGCCACCACTTGCACTGCTCATCCCTATCATCTCCGACGAGACCAACGATTGCATCACCACCAGTGAGGCACCTCCATTCTCCGTGCTCGACACCTCCATCTTCCATAGGGTTTCAACGAGACCAACGACTGTTCCATATTTACGTTCGTCAATTTCGGTTTCGATTTAAGCTCAAGGGGACGTAGCATGTTAGATTTCACTTGCTATGATGGCAACATCCTATTTATATATTTTTATCCTTTTCAAGTAAAGTCTTTATTCTTTTTTAAAATGGACAAAGAAATTATATATTATTTTAAGATGAAAATTGACTTAAAAAATGTTATTATTATGTGTATTTTTTTATTAACATGTATATCCAACCCGCTATGCGAGCCGATTAATTCCAGGACGACCATCTGTTTTGTAGATAGTCCGGAGTCACCGTATTTGAACCTCTGTGGCCATAAAAGGATTTTTATTTCTTTTTGGATTTGAACTTGAGACCCTCTAATACTTTTGATTTTTGAAGTCAAACTCAAAACAATCAAACACCACTTTAATTTTATGGTTATTATGAGTATTATTTTTTTCCATTAAATAATGGTCATGATTAAAGGGGTTGCAAGTCTCGAAACAGTAAATTAATAAAAAATTGAGTAAATTCCAATTTTTCAACTTTATTCTTACATTTATTTTTTTTATGTTTTTAATAAAAAGAAGGTAACATTAAAATTTAAAAACCCTCTCTCTTTTTTCCCCAAACAAATTTATGTGTTTTTTTTTTTCTGTAATATTGTAATAAAGAAATTCATCATAACGTAATTTTGTTTCGATCAAACGTTCGTTTTCAAACAACTTGAGAAACAATTTTGTATTCGATCAATCATAAGGGTAGTGTCTGATTGGTTTGAGTTTGGCTCCAAAGGTCAAAAGTACTTGGAGGTCTTCACGTTCAAATCCAATGAGCAATAAAAATCTCCTTGTGGCCACGAAGGTTCAAATACGGTGACTCCGGGCTATCTGCAAAGCAGGTGGTCGCCTGAGATTTGTCGGTTCGCATAGCGGGTTAGATATCCATGTTAATAAAAAAAAAATTGTATTCGATCAAATTCATTTTTGTGCATGCGATGTATTAAAACCGGATCATCTTAATAGTGTTGCATAAACCAACTTGCATCAATTAGTGATTGGACTTGACTTGGATTTTGATTAGCCATTTGGTCATCTAAAATGGCTTTGTTATCATGTTATGGGCTTTTTGATTGAAATTATTTCGATTGAATGATGGTGCTCTACTGCTCTTGACGTTATAATGTAAACATGTCACTTTTTTGAGAGGATTCGATACTGAGACCCTAGTAGGGAAGGGGACAACAAACCCCTGCCGATTCTCGTACTGTAATCATACTTTAAATTAGGAAACGGAACATTTAATTATGTTTATTTCAAATTTTGAATTTTTAACTCATGCAACTTGCCAAAAATAGAAATACTATTTTTAAGCTAAAAAACAAATTTATGATAAAATAACCTTTTTTTCATAAGACGGGTGTTACGTTATTCTTGCTCACTTACATGATATTCTCCATCAATACGGGTCCTTATTGATACTTTTTGTTACTGGTTGTGGTGAAGATGGTAATAAAAGGGTAGGAGCTAGTTTTAGGTTCAAGTCATTTTTGTCATCATTCATGTGGAATATATTAAAAGGGTTTTGACGAGTTCAAGTATATGATGATAAATCATATCTTGCAAACAGGTGCAGACACAACGTATAAGGAGTAGGGGAAGGCCCCCACTCAAAAGGGTTCCAGTCCCATTCGCCCCACCCCCACCCTTCCCCCACCCCCCAAAAAAAATTCTAGTTTATTTGTTGATTTCTTCAATCTCGCCTTTGTTCTCACTCCTGGGATCTCATCTTGATCTTGGTATTTCTCGAATTTCTTTCAATATGGTTTCAAATTTCTTGCTATCCATCTTCTTGTTGCTATTCTGCTATTCATTTGATTTCGGTTTTCTTGTTTTTGCTAAATTGAAATTTTCTTGGAAATTCTTTCTTTTTTTCTATTATTCTTGCTATTGATTTAGCTATCAAATCCATTCCTTACTTGCAAGTTTTCTTACTGTTCATTTTGAAGTTTAGGGTTTCTTTAGTGGTTGTACATTGCAACCTATAGGGTTGGTTCAAGTGACAATAAAAGTTATGATGAAAATATGAGAACAAAACCTTCATATATCTTCATCTATATTCTACTATCTTTATTTATTTTTATCATTAAAACTGAAATTTTAATAAATTCATGTATGAGAAAGTGATTAAATGTATGTAAAAATTTTGTGAAATAAATTAAAATTGAAGATATAAGGTAGATATATGTAGTTGAATTTAATTGAAGGTAATTAAAGGTAGAATAATGTAATTGAAAAGGTCAAAGGCTCGAAAGTTGAAAAAAAGTTAAAGTTAGATTAAAAAGTCAATTCATTCAAAGGCAGAGAAGGTTTTCCACCATTTACATCATAACTCTCATTTTCACACGATCATTCGTTTTAGTTTGCAATTTGCAAGAGAATGTTTGAATTTTAGCTAAACGGATAATCCCAACCTAGATAAGAACATCTTTTAACAAGTGAGCGTCAGAACCAGTTTGCACGCACCTCAGACTAATCCTAGGGGACCTGGATAACTACAGAGAATCCTCATTAATTTTGCAGGGCTCGAACTGATGACAACTTCTGAGAAGAATCCTCAAAGTCCCAAGTCGTATTGGTAGCTGATCTAACCCAACAAAGTTGATAAGAACATCTCTTGAAGGAGCGATATATGGACAAAATGGAGGAGAGATGGTGCAATGATCAAATAGAAACGAGAGTACAAGATGTATCTTTATTTGGTTACCGAACTGTTTAACCTAAAAACTGAATAACCTTTTAACTCAAACTCATTTAGGTGGGTGGGTTATTCAACTTTAAGACTTTTTTATACCTCTAGTTGTGCTCCCAATCACTAGAGAATCTGGACCCGTCATTGCTTAATTATTAACCTAATAAACCAAATGTTCATATACCATGTAAATTTGAATTTTGTGTTAGTGAATTGCTATGACACAAATTAAGCCAACAAAATTAGCGATACACATAAATACGGTGACTCCGGGCTACCTGCAAAGTACGTGATCGTCCTGGGATTAATCGATTCGCGTAGCGGGTTGGATATCCAGGCTAATTAAAAAAAAAGGAATTAGCAAACTTTAGCTAAAGTTGGAAATCCAAAATTACGAAACAAATGTAGTAGCATACATACAATATTACAAAGTACAAACTAAATTACTTGGAATCCTATAGATTCAAAAAAGAAAGAAAAAAAAGGGAGAGAGCTAAAGACGATCCGGCTTCCTATCATCGGAATCATCCCAAATTTTGTTTATACCGGAGTTCATTCCCCTGAACAAAGGGACGGCGGATGCTGCTCCGGCGCCTGAATAAAGCCCACTTCCGGTTGAAGCTAAGTACGCCGAGAACCCACCCGGGGAACCACCACTTCCGCTACCCATCCCAAGCCCAAGAAAATCTAGCGTGGTGGGTGCCGGCGGTCCCATCATTAAGTCCGTCAGACTGGTGGTGGTGGTGGTGGTGGCGGCGGTGGCGAAGGGAATCCCAAGTCCAAGCCTGGAGTTATCATCTCTCTCTTGCTTTATATGAACATTGCTCCATTCTCCATTGTTGGTATCTTGACGGTGATTACTGCTGGAGGACGACGGCGACGCCAATCCGAGTGCATGGAGGAATGAGGTGTTTGATGATTTTGCGCCCATTTGAGCTGCTTTCTGGAGCAAAGCGGTGGCGGAGAGCGCTGGTTGCGAAGCTGGTAGATATCGGTGGTGAAGTTTGTGGAGGAGGTTATGATCCGGCGGAGGAAATAAAGATGGGTTGGCGGTGTTGGACAGGTACAGCGATGAGGATAAAGAAAGAGACATTGGTTCTATAGTAACCGACGACGTATAAATACTAGGAAATACACTAGTGCTATTAGAGGTGGAGCCACCGCTTACGGTGGTGGTAGCGGTGGAAGCTGTAGTTGTTGCCCTCGTTGTGGCCAAGCATGTCAACGTCGTTGCTCCAGATACTTTCGCTACCATCGCATTTTCCGGCAGTTCTGCAAACAAAATCTTAACTTTCAGTTAAAAAATTAACAAAAATTTAAATAATGCAATCTAGCTTTTACATTGGATTTGAAAAGGTTCGTGGTGGCAATCATGGCACCCGTTTACCCAAAAGAAATTCTCTTTTTAATCAGCTTTTTCTTCGTTCTTTGAGCTCCGGTGATGAATAATGGAGTTCCATTGAGCAACACATTTTCTTCTCAGGGGAAAACGCTCCCATAGAAAAGAAGAAGACAAATGCAGTAGACGACAAATAATTTACGACACACGAGGAAAGCGATTCTGAAAACGAAAGTGGAATTACTAAAAAAGTGTTGAAAATGGTGCGTAGCCGTAAATGTAAATTGAAGTCGTAATAACCTGGCGTTTGGAAGGAAATGGCCGGAGAGAGTACATCGGTGGACGGAGTAAGCGGCGGCGGTGGCGGACTAAACGTCGTAGGGAGAACAACCTCCTCCATTATTGTAGGAGGTGATTGTTGATCTGAACTACTAAGAGCAAGGGTTTGAGATTGAGTTATTGTGCTCTCATGTGCTAATGCATCGCAAAAAGCTCTATGAGTGATGAAGGTATCCCTCCTTCATCATAAAAAACACAATCAGGATGATTTCATAAAAATTCACATAAATTGCAGAAGGATTTGAGAACGATGAATAGAATTTAACCTAGAAAACAAGGATCCGCAATCACATCGGTACTCTTTGGAACCACATATCTTCATATGTGCTTTCCAATCAGACTGGACAGCGTACTTCTTAGTGCAGCGTTCACACTTCCACTTCTTCTCGCCATGTTTCCTCGAGAAGTGCTTTTTGATACCAGTGAGATCGCCGAGAGCTCTCAACGGATCGTGATGGACGCATGTTTTCTCTGGACAAACATAAACACGTTTCCGGATTTCCTTTCCGGTTCGTTGCTTTAGCTTCCAAGGAAGATTATGACCGCGCCGATGAAGCTGAAGATTCTGATCTCGTTGAAATCCTTTGTTGCAAATCTCGCAAACGAAGCGGTTCATGGCTACCAGACTCTTCGGTGATAGTGCGATCACCTCAGCATCTGGATCTGCCATGAGTAAGTTAAGAAGCAAAAGCTAAACCAAATCATTCTACCATCATACACATAGAAAGTGCAAATAAAGCAAAAGCTGAGATTAAGAAAAACCAAAAACTGCTAAATTATACCAGGATTTCCAGGAAGATTTCGCTTTTTCTTCGACGGTAGCATCTCCAATGGCGGTTCAGTAGGATTTCCAGCGGAATCACATTCAGTAGCCTCAACCGTAGTTCCAGAAACCGCCATCATCGACGAATTCTCAAAACCGACCATAAGCACAGCAAGGTAAGTACAAATTTATCTCAATAATGCAACCACATCTAGCGTATCATATCCACCACGCGTCGACTGAAGAGTCTCTTTCACGGTTCTTCCGGCGAAGAGAAAACAAAACGGCAATCTCTTTGCTAGTATTTAATTCGAAAGTTCATCAATAATGGCGAGCGAAGAACGACGAAGACAAGTCGAGTACGGCGGTTGATTCACTGCGTGTTCTGTGGAATGTGGATGTGTATGTGTACATGTGTGTGAAAATGGAGTGGAAAGAGATGGAAGCGGTGGCTGTAAACCGTGGTTAGATACGGGTATAAACCAGGGTTAATTTTAAGATGCCATGGCCCACGATGTGTCTCATCAGAAGTGGGTCTGAAATCGTCATCGTCCACGTGTTTGAATCCAGAACAGGGTGGCACATGTCGGAGGAGACTAGAGATATACAAGTAGCAGTGGCATTTAGGGTGCCTTCGTATTATGTGTAGATTACGTGATGACACAAAAACTCATTTTCTTGAAACAAGATTACACTTTTTCTTGTTTCTTTCTACGAGCTGAAAAATAATTGGACAAAAATAGAAAAACTCAGACGCGGAACACCAGCTTTTTAAACGAGAGGGTCGAACCTAAATTTTATGAAAGTGTCGTATGAATGAGTATAGTTTGTTTCGATATAACAGACATATATGTTTTAAAAAAACACAAAAGACACTACCTAAAATTAGAGTTGTAAACGAACCGAACGAACACGAACGGTAAGCGAAGGAATTTTTTTAGGTTCATGTTCAGTCGTTAAGAAAATGTGTTTGTTCAAGTTCGTTAATGTTCGTTCGTCAAGATAGATGCTCTTCTAAAGCGCAACTCATGGGTGATCCAAATATTCTCTCATGTTTTTCACCTTAACTCATATTCTAACACAATTCTTTGTCTATATGTTATATATATATAGAAGCGTACTCGCGCAATGCAGCGAGATAAATCGTGATTTTAATATTTCATTTTATTCTTTATCTCAGTCGATGTTATAATATGACTTTATGTGATTTTGAGAAAACGATGATGTTTTTATTTTAAAAT